GATCCCAGCTGGATCTACTGGACAATCAGACCCCAGACTGGAAATCTGGCTTGATGGATCATTTTTTGAAAATAATATGGTGGTCTTTCACTGAAACACAAGTACACATGCTGCAGATTTGGTCTGAACAACAAAACAGAAAGTTATTTAATGTTATATACAGCACAGTTTGAAAGATTTCAAAATGCAGAATAAAATACAATCTTATCTATTCCCAACACCATCACTTTACAATACTGAAACTCCAGAGAAAGTTCACTGCTCTATCACATCTGCAGTAAGATGATATGCGCTTTTAAGAGGGGTTTGCTTCTGTCCTGTTTCTCTTGAAGAGAACATGGTGCTGAGGTGTCTGCTCCACTGAAAGCAGAGTAAATAGCTTCTGGTTTTTAAAAAAATTAGACAAAAGGTGTATGAATTGATAGAGTCAGGCTCACACAGATCCAGGGCTTTTGTTGAAGTTGGTTTCTTTTTTGGAGATCCGGCTGCTTTATACAGCCTTCTCCCTGCTGCAGAAAAAAGCTGGAGTTCACTGTTGCCAGATTCATTCTGTCGGTGTTCCTTTCTCCTGGACTGCAGGAGATAGCAAGTGAGGGAAATCTGTTTTCCTGAATTTGCCTTTTCCAACAGTGTGTTTATGGGATGCCGCTATATTGGAACAGTTGATGAGTAGTAGTTAAATAATTTTTTTTTTATTAATTCTTTCAATAGAGTTAAAGTGATGCAAATTCTTCTTTGCATTTGTATTTTAACTGTAGTGTAAGAATAAAGCGTGTTTTACTTAAAGCCTAGTAGTTTAATCAAATCAGTCACATTTGGAACACACCTACCTTTACACTTACCTTTAAATAATTTAAAAGTTAGGAGCTAGGCTATCTACTTGAAATATTTTCAGGGATTTGATCTGGTCCATAACAATAGGCTTGACATAACAGTTTCTTTCAATTTCCAGTCTCAAGAGCTTTCCCTGATTATTCACAACACTGAGCTTAAAATTTCCTAGAATCAAATTACCTCTTCAGGGTTCTAATCAAGCACTTATGGTCAGGAATTTTCAAAATAAATCTCTTACACTGTGGTAATGTATTTCCTAACTTTTCTAAACTAACTCTTTTCTTTGAGAGAAACTATCTTACATCTGACCAGCCGGGTCTTCTGTCAGCTGCCCAAAAGCTTTCCAATCTATGTTTTTTTTCCCAAAGCACAAATCAATTCTTGATTCTTCCAAACCAAAAACAAGCTAATGCCTTTCAATGTTTGCTCTTTCCATTCATAAAGTTCTCAAACAAATGACCATTATCACAACAGGACGGCCCAGTCATAGATTCATCGAGCACAGAAACAGACACTTCAGTCCAACCAGTCCAAACTGAGTATAATCCCAAACTAAACTAGATCTACCTGCCTGGTCCTGGCCCATACCCCTCCAAACCTTTTCTATTCATGTACTTATCCAAATGTCTTTGAAACATTGTAATTGTACCCACATCCACCACTTCCTCAGGAAGTTCATTCCATACACAAAACACTCGCTGTGTAAAAAATGTACCCCATTTGTCATTTTTTAAATCTCTTTCCACTCACCTTAAAAATGTGTCCCCCAGTCTTGAAATCCCCCAGCTGAGGGAAAAGACAACTACCATGAACCCGATCTGTACCCTTCATTATTTTATAACTTCTATACGGTCACCTCTCAACCTCCCCTCTGCGTTCTGACACATACTGATTTAAAACCATGGATCCAGAAAGACTGACAAGTTAATTATTACATCTTCAGGCACACAGATCAAAATCTATATGCCACTAGTTCAAAATCCAAATTGTAAAATAAATGATATGTACATGTATATATTAATCACACACCTCAATTTATTTGAGACATGTCATACATCCAATTTTGTAACCCTGTTGTTTCTGTTTTATTCCATTAGGTCTAACTTTGCTCACAAATCTGTTGTGTGGTACTGTATCAAATGCCTTCTGGAAGTCCATGCACACATTAACATCATTGCCCCGACTAACCCTCTCTTTAACTTCTTCAAAAGCTATAGTAAATTTTATATACATGATTTTTCATTAAGAAATCCATGCTGGTTCTCCTTAATTAACCTGCACATATCCTCATATCTATTAATTTTATCCTGAATGATTATTTTTAGATATTTCCCAGTCACTAAAATTAATTCAACTGGTCTCACTTGCTGAACTTATTCTCACATCATCTTTTGAAGGAGGCCATAATGTTTGAAATTCTCCATCCTCTGGCACATCCTGCTGAGTCTGAGACGGACTGAAAAATTATTCCTACAGCCTCTGTCATTTCCATTCCAACTTACTTGGATGCATCTCATCTGATCCCAGTGCCTTATCGACTTTAGTATAGATTTGTCTATCCAATACCTCCACCTTATCAATTTTGAACCCTTGTTGTGACTGAATTTCCTCCTCTGTCACCATGGGCATGATCTAGGTAATATCATCTTCCCTGGGAGAGACAGGGGCCACGTATTTGCTTAATATGTCATGCCGTCTGCCTTTTAGGTCCCTAATCAGCACTATCCCTCCTTTTGTCACCCTCTAACTATTTACTTGCCTGTAGAAAACTTTGGAATTTTCTTTTGTGTTAACTGCCAGTCTCCTTCCTTTTCTTCTTTGTTATTTTTCACCACTCCTCTGAACAATCTATATCTAACCTGGTTCATGGTTGTATTTTCTACCTGACATCTCACACATTTTCTTTTCTATCATAATTTCTATCTCTAGCCATCCAGGCAGCCCTGGATTTGTTTGCCCTCACAAGACTATACCTCGACTGTGCCTGAGGCATCCCTTCTTTGAAGGTAGTCTTTTAAATATAGTCTATGGTCTTCAGCATGTTTGCGACATTTCGCTACGCCCATGGAGCTGTGATCACTATAACCTACCCCTTTAAGGGCACTGTATATATTCTGCATGTGCAAATATGACAAATCCTGAGGTCAATTAAGGCTAATTGCTAACGGAGATTTCTGAAGCTGTACAAACAACACCACTTAAGCCATCTTTTTTTAAAACAAACTCTTGTTTAGATCAGGCAAAATTGACAACCATTATCAATTTCTATTGATATCGATTTCAAAGTTGCTGGTTATGATCTCTTAAGTGTTCCATTTATTTCAGACAGAAACAGCTTTGCTTTCCTCATTAGTTCACTGCTCCTTAAGGTGCATCGAATGAAATAAAAATGCCTTATCAGAGAAGACTTTGTTTTAATATTTAATTATGAAAATCCTTTAACAAAATCTGCATAGTTGTGCAAAATTCTCCCCTTTAAAGATGGACAATCTCTTTACCTTTACAGTTAATTCATGATTACGGTGCATCAGCTGTAACAAATAATCCAGATTTGAGAGCTACGTGATAAATTTGGACAGAATTCCACATGAATTTCAACACTTGCAGTCTTTAAAATTGTTATTAAAATTATTTTAAAATTTATTAATTTTATATTTTCTCTTTAATCAAATCTATAACCACGATATTTTGTTGTACAATTTACACACTGATTGTTTTACCCAATTCACATTCAATTACACCAGTCACAGGTACTGGACAGGTCATGTCTTTTTTCCAGTTTCAATTCCTCCAGCCTTCATGAGCTTTGCTTCACAAGACTCATGTTCCAAAATGTTCTTTTTGCAAAGCTGATCGTTCCATGTTTTTTAACCAGACCTATGTAACTGGTGGTGCAGACAATAAGCTTTCTGGTGACATCTTTTCCACTTTTCAAGCCAGACCTAGGCCTGTTTGTCATGAACTTCCCTCCAACATAACTTGTTCATTTCTACTTTAAGGAACGCTTAGAAATTCAAGTCATGGTGGCAATATTTTCATAGTTTCCTTTACATATCTATCCAACCCCCTTTTAAGATGCTGGTTGACTTTACACTAACTATTTTTTTTTGATGGACTATTCCATCTGTGCACTAACCAATGTGGATTGTACTAGGGCAGTGGTGGTGTCAGTAATAATTACCACATAATCCATCGACAAATTTTAAAAATGTTAACCAGTAAGGCGAAAGTGAGAAGAATCCATTTGTAATTCGAACAATCCCAAATACTAAAGCTCTCATTTACTCACTTTAGAAGAAGTGACATGGTGTACTCATACAGATTGAAAAAGTTTCATATAATCACCACCAATTGTACGTATTATCGGACTGATCATTCATTGCTCCTTGTCAATCCCGGAAGTGTCTTTGTTAAATATGATTTAATATTTCTGGGTAAAAACACTACTAAAATAATAGTAGGGCATCCCAGATATGACTGCCTCGAACAAACTCCAATTTCATCAAATCTTTAAATAACAGACTTTTGGAAATTTCTGAATTTGTATGGAAAAGTTACTTCAGACAATAACCCACCTAAACTCAAGCAATTTTTATTGATGCCTGCTGATTGGCTTTCAAAACTAGACTGTGATGAAATGCTGGAACTGTGTATATGATTAAGTTTTGTTTAAATTCATTCATTATTACACACAATTTCTCCCTTGTAGCTTGTCTGTTCATCTATCAATAGAACTTTCAAAATACAGCAAATGTTTCATGAAAAGAACTGGGTGGATTTTCAAAATAATCAAAATCACTACGTAAAATCTAGAATTATACAATGGTTACTTTACAAAATGAGGGCATTTGGCTGTGTTGTCTATGTCAGCTTTCTACAAGAATAACCGTTACAACATAAAAACACCCAGTTCATTGCTTCTTTAATTTGTCTGTAATGGGATGCTCAAAACTGTAAATATTGCTCCAATTAACTCCTTAATAGCCTCATGTAAGTCCAACATTACTTGGTTCCTTTTGTATTCATTACCTCACAATAAATAACATAGGGTTTTTAGTGCAATTTTAACAAGAGTTACTTGTGAACCAAGTCCATCAATCAGGCATTTCTTGTTAAATATTTTCATGTGGCATCAAGCAAAAGTGTCAAGTTCAATGATTTCTGACCTGTACTCAAGAGAGAAGTGAGTCAGCTCTGTATTGTTGTATAACCATTTGAATTCCAAAGGCCAGCTCCCTTCTGCCATACATGTCAGGACCAGGCGGTTGCCCTCCAAGTGGATCTGTGATCGAATGGGTTCGGTTTTAAAATAAGGTGGGACATCATCTGAAATAAAAATCAAAGTATGTTGCAGAATATTGAATTTGTCTTGCCGATTTTAATTACGTAAGAATAAATACAATCACATCAACCATCTTGCATTCTAAATTGCCTCAATAGTAATGGGCCCAGTCTTGAAGAGTCTCTGCCACACCTAAACTGTGAAGCTTAGGTTGGGTTCTTCTGAAATGTTCTTTTGTATCAGTTAACACAAACAGAACTGTTGGGCTCAATGTCAAGGTGTTAAATTAAGACTCAGCCCCATACTTAGTTTTTATCTTACAGCTGTACAACAGACTTCATTTTAATTACAACATACCAGTTTCCTTCAGTATCTGTCATATAAGCAATGTCAATATAAATAAACAAAGTGTGCAGCAGCAGCCTTGAAATTATGGCAGACGGATAGAAATTTATGAATGCTTTTTTAACAATAGGTGTTAATCCATTGATTGATAAATTCAGCAACTCTACACTTCCAGCACTAGCCAATACTCAAAGAAAGCAGAAACGAAGGGACTGTTATGTTGCACTGTACAATGTTTTAGTTTCATGTCTGATCTGTGCTTGCAATGATTTCGGATTCCCTGCTGGAAATGTAGGGTTGCTGAATTTATTTTTGTTTTCAATGGCTTAATTCCTCCACTAAAGGAGGAATTGCAGCAAAATATTTTGAGCTATTTACCTTAGAGTCCCACAGCGTGTGTTCAAAGCCAACAGTTTTTACACAGTCACCTAAGGTGATCAGACAGTCTACTTATGTGATCTGAAAGGACTTCTCAAGTAGGCAATTTCCTCAAGGCATTGCTCAAGGTTTTGTCTGCTGTCATTTTTTCCATAAGAGATCTTCATTGCATCACTGCATGACATTGGTCTCTGCTCCGCCCTCTGCAACTGGATCCTCAGCTTTCTGACCCATAGGCCGCAATCAGTGAGGATAGGTAACTGCACTTCCTATACAACAACACTGGAGCCCCTCAAGGATGCACCCTCAGCCCCCTACTGTACTACCTGTACACCTACAATTGTGCTGCCAAATTCCAAATGAACGTCATCTACAAGTTCACTGAGGATACCACCATAGTGGGACGGATATCTAATAATGACGAGTCAGAATACAGAAGGGAGATAGAGGGCTTGGTGATGTAGTGCAATCTGTCTCTCAACATCGGCAAAACTAAAGAACTGATCATTGACTTCAGAAAGAAAGGAAGACAACCCGTCCCCATCTACATCAACGGAACTGAGGTTGAGAGAGTGAAGAGCATCAAGTTTCTCGGAATGACGATAACTGGCAACCTGTCTTGGACTTCCCACGTAGATGTGACAGTCAAGAAGACACAACGAGCCTCTTCTTCCTCAGGTGGCTCAGGAAATTTGGCTTGTCCATAAGGACCCTCACCAACTTCTACAGATGCACCATAGAAAGCATACTGTCCAGGCATGTAACAGACTGGTATGCCAACTGCTCTGCCCAGGACAATAAGAAACTACAGAAGGTTGTGTGCATAGCCCAGACCATCATGGAAGCCAACTTTCCATCCATAGACGCCATTTACACGGTTCGCTGCTATGGAAAGGCGGCCAACATCATCAAAGACCCATCACACCCTGGTAATGATCTCGCACAACCTCTTCCATCAGGCAGAAGATACCAAAACCTAAACACACACACGAACAGGTTCAGGAACAGCTTCTTTCCGGCTGTTATCAGACTGTCGAATGGACTCTAGACTCAAATAATGTAACCTGTAATGTAATCTGTATGCCTCTAAGTCTTTTTGATCTGTACATCCTTTGCTTGCTGTGATCAGCCTGTACTCTCATAAACAAAGCTTTTCACCGTATTTCGGTACACGGGACAATAAAATCAAAATCAAATCAACTCAGAATGTTTTCATAAAGCTTCCAGGATAAATCTGTACAATCCATGATTTCCCAATTTTAAATCAATGTTTTACAATTCTATTTAAACTATATAGTAAATTCAGAGAAAAACATGTTAAGGAAACAACACGCATACAGAAAAAAAATCTATGAAATCAAAGAATGACTGCAATTGTCTGTAAATTGGCTCTAGTTATATGCTCTGAATAGGAACATATGGTGTATCTGTGTCCCAATCTAAATCTGATTTGGCATTTTTAGAACTAAGCTGAAAGGAGGTCTGGCATCATGATTCCCTCATCACCCGCGAGAGGCCCAGTCTGGAAGCTAGGCCCTTTAAAATGTGATGAGCTCAGTACTAGTGGAGTCATGAACCACACTTAGTGATTGCCATTCATGTACCTCATCCAGTGTGCTTTGTGGCCTGCTAACTTTAAGTCCTTTTCCTGCAGTATCCAGGAAAGGTTGGAGGAGGTGGTAGAGGGAAATCAACAGGAGTTCCCTTCCCCATGTTTGACTGGTGGCATGACACTTTAGGAGGTTTGAAGTCAAAGCTGAAGTCTCCCTAGGGCAATTCCAGTTTACTGTATACCACTGTCCTGGCATCTCTGTTGGGACATAACATATCCAAGAATGGTGATAGACAAATCCTGAACATTAAGGCATGATTCAGTAAATAGGATTAAATCATACCAGTGGTTTGCTAGCCAGGCAGCAGCCCTCCCAATTTTGCTATATTCCCCAGAAAGTATCATAGAGTTATACAGCAAGGAACAGTTTCCCAAACTAAACTAGTCCCACTTGCCTGTATTTGGCTCATATCCCTCTAAATCTTCCTTATTCATGCACCTATCCAAATGTCTGTTAAATGTTGTAACTGTACCTGCATCCACCACTTCCTTTAGCAGTTTATTCCATATACAAAGCACCCTCTGTGTGAAAAGGTTGACCCTCAGGTCCCTTTTAAATCTTGGTCAGAGACAAAAAACTGTGGATACTGGAATCCAAGGTCAGCAGACAGGAGGCTGGAAAAGCACAGCAAGCCAGGCAGCATTGGGAGGAGGATAAGTCAACATTTCGGGTATTACCCTTCTTGAGTCCTTAAGAAGGGTAATACATGAAACATTGACTGCTCCTCCTTCATGTGCTGCCTGGCTTGCTGTGCTTTTCCAGCTTCCTGTCTGTCTATCCTGTTAAATCTTTCTCCTCCCACCTTAAAAATATGGCCCCTAGTTTTGAACTCCCCCACCCTAGGGAAAAGACCCTTGCTATTCATTTATCTCTGCCCTTCATGATTTTATAAACCTGTATAAAGTCACACCTCAACCTCCTATATTCCAGTAAAAAAGGTCTCAGCCTATCCAACCTCTACTTATAACTCAAGCCCTCAAATCCCAGCAACATCCTGGTAAATATTTTCCAAACCCGCTCCAACTTAATAATGAACTTCCTATAGCAGTGTGACCAAAACTGTACACAGTACTCCAAAAGTGACCTCACCAATGTCCTGTTCAACTTCAACATGACATCCCAACTCCTATACTCAATGGGCTGAGCAATGAAGATAAGTGTGCTAAATGCCTTCAGTCACTTGCCCTGCCTTATTTCCCAAGAGAAGGTGAAGTTTTGCCCCTTCTTCAGTAGGTACATCTACATATTGATAAAGAATATTTTCTTGAAGACATTTAACAAATTCTTCATCGTCTTAATTGCAGTCCCAGTCTATGTTTTGAAAGTTAAAATCCCCTACTATTACAACTCTATTATTCTTACATATATCTGAGATCTCTCTACATATTTTTTCCACAGTTCCCCACTGACTACTGGGGCCAATAGTATAATCTCATCAAGGTGATCATCCCCTTCTTATTTCCGAGTTTCACCAATATAGCTTCACTGGATATGCCTCAGAAATATCCTCTCTAAGTACAGCAGTAATGTTTTCCCTAATCAAAATCGCCACTAGCATGCTTCTCTTGCCTCCCTTTCTATCTTTTCAATGGCACCTAAACCCTGAACGTAGATATGAATGAGGAGTGTTCTGCAAGATTGACTGGACAGGACTTTTGCTGTCAAGTGCGCTCAGCACCAATGCTCTGTAAATCATACAGACTGAATGCAATTACCATGATACTTAATGACAACTTGGGTAAGATCCCAGAGAGTGATTGATGTCTATCAAGCCATGAAATCCATGCCGTGCATGAATGTGAGAAGAGAAGAAAGTTCGCAAGAAGAAACATTTCACGAAAAGCTGTGTTCAATTTATCTGACAGAAGATCGTCAACTTCAAAAGTTAACTCAGTTTTTCTTTCCATATGAAGCTACTTGATCTACTGATGATTTCCAGCATTTTCTGTTTTTATTTTAGATTTTATTTTAGTGTCTGCAGTATTTTGGCTTTCATTTACCATTGATTGGTTAATTAACATAAGGACATTTACTTGTTTACTTAGATACTGTTCAGGCTTACATGCAACAATACACCAGTCAAAATATTCTACCCTAAGATGTGTATGAATAGGATGCTTCAGCAAAGTCCATGCTTTCAGATTTTAAGAAGTTTTAATTCAATTCTTATGTAGTAGACTTTATAAATACACAAATAAAAACTCCAATATGATGCAAAGAATGAAAAATGCATAAAAATCAAAGCTGATAAAATCTGCCAAGTTACGTTTACAGCTGAAATTTTCAAAATATAGCAGCATTCTACTAGCACCATGTAAAGGCAATCAATATTTCATTTCCATTAAAGTACATGGCACATAAGTGCAGCAGGCAATCAGGAAGGTTAATAAAATGTTGGCCCTTATTTCAAGGATGTTGGAATGGAAGAGTAGGGAAGTCTTACTGCAACCGTACAAGGTTCCAGTGAGACAACATCTGAACTACGGTGAGCAGTTTTGATCCTCTATTTAAGGAAAGATATAGTTTCATCAAAGGCAGTTCAGACAAGGTTTAGTAAGATGATCCCCGGTATGGAGAGTTTGTCTTATGAGCAAAAGCTAAACAGGTTGGGACTCTGCTCACTAGAATAATAAGAGGTTTGAGAAAGTTTGTGAGAGGATGTTTCCCCTTATTGTGCAGTCAAAGATTGGGGCAATATCTCAGAATTAAGGTGCTCCAATTTAATACTGAGATGAGAAGGAATTTCTTCTCTCAGAGGGTTAATGAGTCTTTGGAACTCCTTGCCACAGATCGCTGTGGAGGCAGAGTCCTTGTGTTTATTTAAGGCTGAAATAGATAAATTCTTGATTAGTAGGAGGATCAGGGGTTACAGGGAAAATGCAGGGAAGTGTATGTGAGGAATATTGGACCAGCCATGATTCTATTGAATGGCAGAGCAGGCTTGAGGGGCCAATGGCCTGTTCCTGTTCCTATTTCTTATGATCTTACAAATTTCATGTATTAGGGAAGTGCAACCAATTTAGGCTTTATATATTGTTGTTCTATTCATTGGTTAATTTCCCTTCCCCAGAACTGATTGCTGTGTCTTACTGAAAACTTTGAGAATGTGGCATCAAATTCAGAAGATTGATGTGAACAGATTGAATGAAATTTGAAACATTGTAAAAATGTCACAGCACATTCCAAAGTGCCACTGCTCTTATTCTGAAACAAATCAGTGCTCATTTCCAAATGGATTTGGCAGAAATCAGTATATTGTACTGAATGATATCATCAACATAGTTCAAGTACAAGTGTCAATAGCATTTCAAAAACTTATTATGGGGCTACTGAAGGTGAAGTGTCCTGGAAGGCATGTCATGTAGTACATAAAAAGAATACATAATGATACCATTGATAAATGTTTGCTGCTAGCAATTCAACAGAAAAGGAGAAAAAGAATTTATATTTAAGTCCACACTGCTATGTTGAGGTACAAATTATTAAGATATTAATTAATTCTCACCTCTAGCATGTGCCTCTCCCAACTTGCTCTCCTTCTACAAGCCTCCACCATTGTGCTATAGCCTGTCTGTTTTTGCATAATATGGAAAAAAGCGAACCCTTACTTGCTGTGATAACCCCAGCAAAAATAATAAAGAAGATCCAGAGGGTTCTTATGGCACAGTGGTAGTGTCACTATTTCTGGACCAGGAGGCCCAGGTTCAAGTCCCACCTGCTCCAAAGCGGTGTGATAACTTTCTGAGGTGGTTGTTTAGAAAATAAAAATAAAGCAGACCCAGGGAGTATGTGTGGTGCAGTGGTAACGTCCTTACCTCTGGACCAGGAGATATCCAGATTCAAAGTCCTACCTGCATTAGAGGTCTGCGATGACATCTCCGAACAGGTGGATTAGAAAATAAATAAAGAAGACCCAGGGATGAGTCTTCAGAACTGTCTGTCCTGGGCTGGGACTAGCCTACGTATGCCACAAGTAGTAACTCTAGTTTGGTGTTCAACAATAACAATTCCTTTCCATTTGGGCTTCCAGAGTTATTGTTACAATGTGGCCATCTCCTACAGAACCAACTGAAATGCCTGGAATAAATTCACTGTCATCAATCCTTCTTCATGGTACAGTCTAAGTGACTGATACCAGAAGGGAAAGCATCTGCAGAAGATAGGCTCAGTCTTGATAAACAGTAAATTCTTTTACAGAGTATTTAATAGCTCGTTACATTGAATAATGCAAGTAACTCAACAGAATAAGGCACCAACTGACTTATATAAACTTTCCTCCCAAGGTTTTTTTTCTGGTTCTTAAATTCTTTATAGAATTATTTCAAATAAGTACAGTGGATTTCCCTCTATCCCATCTCCCACAAGTGTTTGACTTCATAGATTCAGTCAATCTAGAGCTTTGATTATCCATCCTGATCAAATATGTGTTGGGCTGGCTACATCATTTCTTTTACCATTTCAGGACTCCTGATTTAGCTGTTGACCTCAAGTTATGATTGATTGTGGTTGATCGAGGTTTTAATATTATTCGTTAGGTTCATCCTATTGGAGTAGCGATGGGCTGTGGTTCCTTAGTGACATTAGGCATGTAGGATTTCAACACAACATTCCTTCTGACGTGTTAATGATGTTTGATCATTGGTTATTTGATATGTTACTGTCTGACAGCACCGTTCCTGTTGAGATCCTTAAATGACACTATTTGACCTTGTTCCAGGCTTGGCAATGTTTTGGTGCAAAAGCTTTGTCATAGTTAGTCACTTGTTGCTGATAAAAATTCTGTTCTATTTGACAAGTGTTTTCTGGTGCTTTGGAAGGATAGGGAGCTGAGTTTTCAGTTTTATTGCAATTAGTAGTTCTAATGGTGAGAAGACACACAGAAAAGCTGTGAAGAAATGTGCTCCTCCTCAGAAGGTTGTAGATTGTCTGGACTTCACATTCAGCTTCTCCGTTCATGAAGGCAGCTTGGTGGGCTAGCGATTTCAGGAGCACTGAAATGTTCACAATCTTACCAAATTTCTTATTGGCAAACTGTGATCTATTATTGGACAATCACATACCCATATCTTGAATCCTATGAGTGGCAAATATTTTACGTAAAACCTTGACAACTGTGTGTCTGCAGTGGAGGAGTATAATTTCTTTAATTAATCCATTCAGTAAACTAGTCAACCACTATTAAATAAGAATGCATTCCCATTGTCTGGTGGGAATGGTCGTAGTAATCTATGGTTCCCTTCTATCATAGCTGTGTATGGAACATGTCTGACAATCAGTTAAGAGATCTTGATTTACTGGCAACAATGTTCTACATTTGGCAATTTCCAATTGTTCTTCCTGTACCTTTTCAAAAATATTGGTTCTTAGTGAAAGAATTTAGTTGTCAGCAATAGAGAAATGCAGTCTGTGCTTGCAATACGCTTCCATAATTAAGTCACGAGATTTCTTTTCTAGACAGCCTTCCGTACAGTATCAACATATGGTGAGACATTTTGGAGTCCCCTTTCTGCTCCTTTTTGATAAGATTAGGCTTTTTTGTGTTGCAGGTCACAGCTTTCTTTTTTGTTAACCTATTTTTCAAATCAAACTATTATTACATATCTCTGGAACAGGTGGGACTCGAACTGGGTATTATTGGTCCAGAGATTGGGACACTATCACTATGTTACAACAGGGCATATACAATGTGTATACATTGAATTCGCCTGTAAATTCCTTACTGCTGTATGATTTTCACAATTGCTTGGAAGAGGACATCTACTGATATCTATAACTTGGTTTGTACATAATGGATCTCCAATAATAATTTAATGAGATAATGATAGAATCACTGTATTTGTGGAGCATTTTGCCAATTCTTTATCATGGACCAGTGAGATGAACACTTTATAATTAGTCTTTATAAGAACTGTGAGACCCAGTATGCATTCTGAAAACCTCTTACAGGCCCAATTAACTGAGAGGACTTTCCTTTCAATAACTATATAGCAAGTTTTCATATCAAATAATGATCATATTGCATTATTGACTGGTTTTCTGCATCCTTTTAGCAGTTCTTGGAAGAGAACAGCTCCAATGCTTGTGGTTGGAGCATCCATAGCAATAATAGTCAGAATGATGGATTGTTGTGGGCTAAATTATCTTTAGAAGTCAGCATCGCTTTGATCTTCTGATTTTTTTTGATGTGCACCCTAACATCATCCTTCAAAGTTTTTAAGGAAGTGTCTCAATAGATTGGTGGTAGTTGCCAAGTGGAGTAAAAACTTTACTGATTGGTTTACCATTTCTAGTAACCTTTATGAATTATGTACTGACTTTAGATTAGGAAACTCTTTCACTGCCTGTGCTTTCTGCAATCTTCGTCAATGATACATCCCAGAAGTCAAATAGAGTCCTTGGAAACTCATATTTTTCATTAAGTGTAACCCATAAGATCATATGACATAGGAGCAAAGTAGGCCATTCAAGTTTGCTGTGCCATTCAGTAAGATCATGGCTGATTCGATCATATTATTTATTAACCAACAGTTTAGTAATTTTCTGAACGTAATGCTCTGTTCTGTATTAGGTTTACCCAATCCTGTGAATCAATGAAAGATTATCGTGGATACACAGGAATGTAGAGATGAAGTTAAAGTCAGATCAACCATGATTGGGCCCATACTGTCAGGTGGCCTACCCTTGTTCTTTGTTCATTTGTTCGTATATGTTTAGGGTAATTGTTATAATTGTTAAATAATCTTCTCTTGGTTTTTGAGTTCTTGTACTCAGGTTCACAGAAAAATGTGCATTCTTGCTAAACAACGAACTCTGATTATGAATGACTTCACTGTATTGCAGTAATTTATGTCTCTAAGGACACATTTCACACCGCTTTAATTTTTGAGGCTATTCCACCTGTCTCACCTATTATTAAATCAGGGCTGCAATTTCATTTTCTTCAACCAAGGGATTTTTTTCAGATATACAGCAACACTCACCCCAATATCATGTTTGAAATTAGTCAGATGACTATTAATCTATATGATCAGTGTCATGTCTGGTTCAGAAGAGGTCACCTATTATCCCTTGGGAAAGTTTGGTTCACATCTTCCAAGAGGCATCCTCTCGGCCTGGCATATCATCATATAGAAATATACATTTCAATGAAACCAGGTCTTGTTATACTGGGTTTTCTTCCAAAGTTGTTTATTGTAGAGTGCTAATCTCTTTCTGCAAGTAAGCATTATTAGTTATGTGGTTCAACAGCTGTTTTTCAGTTTTGCATGTTCTCTGTACTTGTCCCATCATTTTAGAAAAGCTTTATTGGCTTGATAAAAATAACCAAAAACAATGTCCAGTTTTAATTCCACATCTAGAACAGTGAGCTTTAACATTAAAAAATTTAAAGACATTTTGTATTGAACTATAATGTAGTATTTTGGTGATTTTATACCTTGGAAAGTTGCTGAAGTCTGATAACCCTCTTGATCTAGATTGGCTTTCAGGTCCCATCATTCCCTGATGCTATTTTCAGATTTCACCTTCCATCACTATCTGGATAGCTCGTGCCAATGTGAGATCCTCTCATGATTCTAGCATATCTAAAAGAAATGGATCAGAAATTCCACCAACAATTCTGTCTCAAAGTAGTTCTGATTGTATATCACCACATAATCCAAGATCATGGCAGAATGGGACACTTCAGCCAGAGCTCGTCTGCTCAGTCTGTGAATTTCTCTACATTTTTCCTCTTTTATGTTTGTTTTTCTCTTCTTTCTTCTCAGCAACATCTTGAACTCCCGGCCTCAGTCCAGATTCGGATTCTTGGCCTCAGCGCAGACCCAGTGAGGTATCCTCTCGGCCTGGTGTGACAACGTCTTGCCAGATGTGGCTTCCTCTTGGCCCAGCGTGGTGGCGTGGGGATCTCTCAGTGGCTCAACACGGCGGTCTGTCAACATGGCGTGGCAATCTTCTGGCCCAGCATAGTGATCTCTCGGTGGTCTGTGCCAATGTTTTGGCCTACATGGCCTCAACGTGGACTTCCGGCCTTGAGGTGACTCAAGGCCCAGTGTGGACTGGAGGCAAAGTGCCAACGTAGACTGGGTCAGAAGAACTGTTATTCTGAACTTTTTATTTCTCTATTTTCTAATTTACTTCTATGATCTGTATTGCTGGACTTCTTGTTTCTTTAATTTTCTATTTTTTTTCTTAAAAATTTGTATCTCGGTACCTTGTACCTAAGACGACGCACTAAGTGACGACTTGTAAACTTTTCACTGTATTCATGTCAATGCATGTGACAATAAAGCTAACTCAATTCAATCACAATTCTGACAATATGTAAGTATCATTAATAAATTTGTCCACAGTTCTCCAGCGAGGCATATTCTTCTATTAAATTTTGCTCTCTGCATTATATGGGGGCAGGTTATCTCAGTTGACGGATGGCTATATGGTATTTCTGATACTGAGGATTCAATTCCCACATTAGCCAAGGTTAACAAACAAATGACTCTCCTTCTCAACTTCTCCCCTTGCCTGAGCCATTGTGACCCTCAGGTTAAACCACCACGAGTCATCTTTCTTTAATGAGAGAGTAGGACTATGGCAACTTTCCTTTTACCTTTAGAAGGTACTAAATGTAAAATAATGTTGAATGCTCTCACAATATTGTCAAAAGTTTCCATCTCTTTTCCATTCAGTCATTTTAAAACATGATCTGCTCCTGGATCTAAAGAATAAAACAATGGGTTAATTTGCTGCTCCCCGGGCTCTTTCTGTGATTCTAAAATAATGCTGCAGTTCATGAACTGTGTTTTCCATGTAGACCAGTTTAATTCCTACAAGGAGCATTTTCTGAAGTCTTTCCATTGTCATTGTATTTAACTATTGTT